CATACACCCTAACCCTATATATATATATATATATATATATATATATATATATATATATATATATATATATATATATATATATATATATATATATATATATATATATATATATATATATATATATATATATATATATATATATATATATATATATATATCAGTACTCCTCCATGTAAGTGTACACCCTCCTAAATAATCAATCTTTTCTCTCTCAAGAAACAGTCAAAATAATATGGCTTCTTACGTCTACTTGGTACGCCCCCCACACGCGTCCCCGCTTCCCGGCGGCGGCCTTATAGGCATAAAGATGGCCTACAAATCTGAGGCAGCTGCCGCCGCCGGCGGCGACCCTATCATCCAATATGCTACAGAACAGTTCGATCACAGCCGCATTTTGGCTTCGTACGAGGACGCGTTTGCCTTTGTCTCCGGCGTACTCGTCCATCACTTTGGCTTGGACCCAGCACAGATTCACCGCGAACTCACCCACCGTTTGGTCCGATGCGCTTTGAACAGTGCTTATGTCCTGCCCGATGCCCGAGCCGGGTTTTTTGTCTCTGTCGATTTAGAAACAGTGTACTTTGATGATGACAGTGGTGATTTCGGTGGGCCCGTGGGACTGTCGGAGAACGATGTTCGGATGTTGAAGTCGGAAAAGTGGGAAGGCGGGAGTTGCGAGGAGGAGTTGTGTGCGGTGTGTCTGGCAGAACTTGTGGGAGGAGAAGGGATCATTCGCCTGGAGCCTTGCTGTTCCCATGTATTCCACAAAGATTGTATTCTTGTCTGGTTGAGGAAGAACCAAACCTGTCCTCTGTGCCGTAGGGTTGTTGTGGTCGGCAACAACAACAACCTGAGAGATGATGACGAGAGGAGCAGCGCAGTCCCATTGTTGCCGCATCTTCTGTATGGTCGCAGCCCGTCGCCGCCAGTTGATTTCACATCTTTCTTGCCACATAACATGCATAGAAGTGGCGGTCCTGTTTGAATTTTACATGTTTATTCTATACATAGAATCATCTCTATCAGCAGTCAGTCAATTGTTATTCTAATACATGTTTTCATTCTTCAGATTGTTTGAAATTTAAACATGGTGATTGTGTGTGTTCGTGGTTATAATATACTATGAGTACGTTTGGTATTAACTTCAACGTTTTGAAAGCTAGCTTTTCGCGTGAGCATTTTCTATGTTGATCTACACCATTTAAAAATTATCCAAAATCGCAAGCGCTATTGTCAAACGAAGCCTATATATATGCACTGTCCTACTATAGAATAAATGTCTCTTCTTTTTTTAAAAAAAAGTAAAAAACAAAGAGCAATTTTATTAAGAAAATGAAAAGATCTAAAAGCAAGGTTCAACTAGGACACAAAGGGGATGAAACAAACAAACACTATAGTTCTTCCTCAGTTACTGCTTTTCGGGCGGAAAATGTATTTTCTAAAAGCAAATTTGAAATTGGAAGTTTGAAATACAAGCCAAGATTAGAACCATAAAACAAATACGGAGTACAAGGAATCAGTGAGAACTTACAAGGGTAAGAAGCTGACAATCAACTTCTTAAGTTCCCAATTAAGGCTGTTAACATACATTATGACAAAAAACATATATTAGATTCATTATTAAGAACCAAAACCACTTGATAGACAAAAATCAATTGAGGATAAAATCACTCTTATTGCCTTTTTTAAACACGATGCATAGTGTGATGTAAATCTAAAGAAGAAAAAACGGGAAAGAAATTAAGATGGTTAAAGGCACTGGTAGAGTGGTAGCTCACTCTTACTTTGGAGGCGATAATACCAGACGGAAAACAGAATCGAAAAAGGATGATCGTAACAAAATAGCCCCGTATAAAATTAGACAGATATGTCGCCTCATGTAAGAATTAGAATAGGTATCAGTTCGTAAATGGGAATTGAAGCAATAGAAGAAACACTATTTAGTTACTAAACTAGCTCAATAAAAGCTTGAATTGAGAGTACAAGTTACACATTTCATTTTTCATCCTTTTCTCTAGTGAAGAACACTGAATTTGGAAATCTAAATTCTAAGGCACATCCAAATAAGAAATAAAAGTTGAATTTGACTCAATTTGAAACTAAATCCATATAGGAACCTAAAATAGGAACTCCTAAAACTGGAGTTGAAAATTGAATACATCTTTTAAAAAACAAGATGCATGTTTCAAACTACCATCAGGAATTTTATTTTAAATTAAGATAGGAACCTAAATAGAAACTTTTATTAAAATTTATATGCATATTTTAAAACACATGTCCAAATTAAATTAAAACCAAAGAAATTTGAAGTCAATACAAATACATCTTTCAGTTTTGAATACGGATCGCATAAACCGAAGTACGTGAAACAACTAAAATTCATCAAGGAAAACTTAGACAACAAAGTCAAAATACTCCGTAACAAATCGTAGCACGAAATTCCTAAATCTAAGGTTTAAAACTTGTTACCTTCGTAGATGTGCTTGTGAATTGGAAATCTTTGGCCGCAATATAGTTGCAACTGTGAATGCGGCTCTATGCGCCAGGAAACAACCGGCAGTGAAGAATTGTTCACCGGTTGAAAGTTGAAACCCTCAGTCCTCTCTCTATACGGAAAGATAGGAAAGAAATACTACGCTGCATGTAAACATAAATAAATCACTGACTCTCTTACTCGTTTTTTCTAAACGGAAAGAAAACGGCAAAAGGACTGACCCTAACAAAATAGAGCTTTATTATATAAGGGTAGATACCTGAGACAACAAGAATAACCAGATGAAGTCGAACCACGGCATTTCATCTCCAAACTCAGACTGAAACATTCAAATGACAATATCAGCTTTACTATGTCCTTTACCCCATTGGCGCCTTCGGGCTCTCCTCTTTCTCCCATCAGTTTTAGCTTTTGCCTTTTCTTTCAGGTCCCTCTCTCCCCGTCTCTTGTACATTTTGAACGTCATTTCCCTATCCGCCGCCATTTTCCTCACCTTCTCTGTTATCTCAGCAGCTATTTCTCGGTTGTACAGTTTCCTCAGACCCTGCATTAGCTTTGCAAATGTACTCGGCTGCGGCATCACCCCAGCATCCATCATTTCCAGGCAGTAAGAACAGGCCTCTTTCACATCTCTTGAGAACAATGCATGTACCCAGATAGTCCATGCATACACATTCACTTCACATCCTTTTGTGACAATACAATCCCAAACATCTTTTCCCAATTCCAGCTTGCCGGCTCGTATGAGAGAATTTAGTAAGTCCTTCAAGGTACCATACTGAGGAGTAGAAAGAAGACCTCTAGATACCATTTCTTTGAAATAGTTGCAGGCTTCAACCAAACAGCCCTGCTCAATTAGGCCATGAACCAACACGGTGAAGCTATCTACGCCAGGACTAAGCCTACTAGTTTCCATCTCATTCCATAGTCGGATCCCTTCATTCACTTCCCCCAGCTTGCATGCCAAACGAATCAAAGTATTGTATATTTTTGTATCTGGGAAACAGCTGGTCTTCTTCATCTTCTCCACAAGCTCAATGCATTCTTCTAATTGCTCCTTCTTTTCATGAGCTAGCAGGATGTGCAGATAAGTTGTTTGATCAGGCATGTGACCGCGTTGAAACATGGTATTGAGAAGCTCATAAGCTTTGTCGAGCTTTCGACATTTACACAATCCGCTGATGAGAGCATTGTAAGTTACAACATCAGCATCACAACCACATCTGTCCATGTCTGCAAAGACCCTCATCGCTTCCTCGGTTCTCTCCAAAGTACAAAGTGCCTGAATCAACACGGTGTAAGAAGCTGCATTTGGCTCACAGCCCTTTCTCCTCATCTCTTGGAGAAGGGCATATGCATCAGTCATCTTCCTTGCAACTGCATAGCCATTAAGCAAGTTGTTATACACCACAATATCCGGTTCAAACCCGGCCTCCCTCATTTGAACCAACACATGCTTGGCTTCCATGAGCTTCCCTTCCTTGCACCATCCATACAGCAAGGAAGTGAAGTGCTTGAGGGTAGGTGTAAACCTCATTCTCATATCTTCAAATAGAGAAGCCGCCTCTTTAACACTACCATTCTTACACAGTGCATCCAACAAACACCCAAAGACATACTCATCGGGTTCACAACCATATTTAGGCATTTCATCGAGCACCTCAATCGCTTTCTTAAGCATCTTTCTGGAGGCAAACCTCCTCATTAAAATCACAAACACATCAGGGGTTACCAGTTGCGGATTCTCCCTCCTCATTTCGTCTATAATTGCCCAAACTGCCCCAAACTGTCTCATTTTCCCTAAAACCCTAATCATCGCCTTGTAAACATCATAGCTGTGCTTGTAACCCTGCTGCTTAGACGCCCAATCAAAGAACCGATAAGCTAAATTTCCAGCATCCCCACAACGATTTAACACGCGTTCAGTCAACCCAGAACGCATAACCACCCCAGATTCCTGCAAAGCAAGCTCCAATTTCGGAACCCTGGAATGAAACTTCCTCAAAGTCCGATAGATTTTCTCGACGTCCGCCTCAAATTCATCAAAATTAGGGTCACGGGCACTGCTACATTGGGGTTCTCTCTCTAAACGTACATATCCAAACCCCATTTCTTGCTCGATATGATCTAGCTCTGACTGAGGAAACCGGTGATGATAATCTTGAGGATTATGCGAGTTTGAGAGATTGGCATATTGGATCATTCCACCCAAAGATTTAATGGGTAGTGATGAGCGATATAATTTCTTGCAGGAAGAAATTGAATTCGAGGGAAATCTGTGCATTTTCTAGGGATTTTGTCGATCCTATCTCAGCAATTTCATAGTGAACGAGAGTAAGATGGAGGAGAAATGGAGGAGAGCCACAAACAATAACAACAACAAAGCAGCCTTAGGCACTGCAAATACTGGTGAACCCCTGCTTCAAATGTTTTAACTTACCTTACAAATAAATTGAGTGAAAATGGGTTTGAAGCCCCGGGCTTCAAATAGAGGCTTCAAACTTTTATTTTTTACATTTTTAAATATACATCTTCTAAATTTAAATTATTAAATTATAATTTATTTATTATTTAAATTAATCAAAAGGAGACTAGTGCATTAAAAAAATTACATTCATTAAAAAAATATTACATTCATAGAAGAATACATTCATAAAAAAGTTACATTTATTAAAAAAATATTACATCCATAAAAAAATAACACTACAAAGAAAATACTAATTATTCGAGCGACTAAATATATCTTCATTCAAATTTGAGTTGTAGTAACATATTGCAAACTGAAATAATTCATTAAATAAAAAATATAGCCAATAAAAAAGTATTTTAAATTTAATAAAAAAACAAAACAAAATTACATTACCAAAAAAATTTAAACAAAAAAATACTCCGATATTACATTAAACAACAAAATATAGAGTAAAAAAATTTATGTTTGTGTATATTTTTTTTAAAAAGAGAGTGGGAAGGCTTTGAAGCCCGTTAAATGTTTGAAGTAGGAAGTATGGAGCCTATATGAAGTCCCAAAGGGGTGGTGTTTGCTGCCCCTTTGGCGTTAAAAGGTGTAATAGTGCCCCTGGCGTTACTCCCATTACCAGTGTGCTTAGGTGAGGTCGGCTACATGCATCAAATTATGCTATTATACAAGTAAAGGTCGGCTACATATCATTATATATCATGAAGGGTTCCCATGACATTGGGAACCAATGTCACTCGGGATACTCCGGTGCCCCGTTCGTAAAATTAATCGTTTTTACCCTTCCTAACTCCCCGGTAAACCCCCCACCCCGACCCGAACACGCCCCCCCCCACCGCCTTCAATTGCACTGTTCATCGTCTTCCTCCTCGGGTCTATTTTCGGGAATTTCGTTTTTAGTCACCAAACTTCAATTAAACTATATAGAAATGTTCTCCAATGTTCATGAATCATTTTGGCATCATTAATTCATAATTTTAACATCAAATTCAAGGTTTATGATTCTTAGTTCTTCAAACATGTCAAACACAAAATTCAACCAAATGACCATTTATGAACGTAGAAACGACCTATATGAACATTCTAGTCATTAGATATATCTACGGGCTTACCTTGAAGGTAAATGTAGGTTTTGGAAATTTTCCGGTGAAACTTCCGGCGACAATAACTCCTTGCTCCGGCGACTTCGACGGTAACCAACAACAGCAGACTACTCTTCTCACTCTCAGGATTATTATGGACTAATTTTCAGGAAGAAGGGTGTAGAAATGAAGAAAATGAATTCTCCTTATATAGAATGAAAGAGGAAGAAGCTGCTAAGGATTTTAAGATCGCGGATGGCTCAATGCGCTAGGCTGCGATTTGGTTCGATTATACACGTCGTTCCTTGATTGGGACTAATCTGGTCCCAGTCCGGGCACACTTCTTGGTCTAACTTTCTCCGAATCTAATTCTGTTTGCACCGTTGCGATCAGACAGTCGAACTCTATTCAACGGTATAATTTTTATACTCCCTCCGTCCTATAATGATCTTCTCAGAGCACTATTCTAACTTCATGGAAATTTATATTTATTTGTGTTTTTTCATGGCCTATATGATAAAATAAAATATTCTTGTCACCACTTATTTTGTTGAACTTTTGATGTAGTTTTTAAATATGTATGTTTTATTTTTTATTTCTATACCAATATTTAAATAAAATAGATTGAAAAAACTTGGGATTTTTCTTCGTTTTGCGAACCGGGAAGATCATTATAGGACGGAGGGAGTATTTATTTGTAATACTTTTTCCGACATCATATTTTTGGGTTTTTGACTGTGACAGAGTCAAAATTGATTTATTTGACTTTTACTCAAAAAGGTGCTCATACTAAATTCATATTATTTATTTTCATGATTTATTTCAATAAATCATTTTAAAGTTTACATCATAAACACATTATTCATTTATTACTGATTTTGGGTCTGTACTCAGGTTCCCAACCAAGATTACACAATTAGTCAACATATTGGATTTATCTTTATGAGATTTATCCAGATTAAGATATTGGATATCAAACACATATTATTTCGGCCCAAAGTCCAACAGTAAATTATTTTAATCAAAACAAATTTGATTAATTTATTATTTATTTATTAATAATTCTAGGGTATGTTTTGGGGCGTTACACTCTGTATGTTTATTTAATAGTTAGAATAATTGTTCTAGAATTATTTTTATTGTTAAATTAATTAATTTTGTCGAGAGAAAAATTAATTAATGCTCCCTCCGTCCGGATTTCAAGTTCCCACTCTACGCTTTTCTCCGTCCGGATTTCAAGTTCCCAGTCTACGTTTTCATACTCAATCTTCCTAAATTACCCCTCCCTCATCCGTTCTCATCATTCTCGGCCTGCCATCCCACACAGCACCACACAGGTATTTTCTCTCTCTTCCCTCCCCCTTTCCTCTTCCTTTCCCGTCTCCTCTCTCTGTCTTCCTCTTCCTTCCTCCTCCTTCTTCCACTCTTTCTCTCTCTCTTCCTCTCCCCTTCCTTTTCTTCTCCTCGTCATCTTCTTCCTCCTCTTCCTTCTTCTTCTTTCCATTCTTTTCTTGCTAGATCTAACCTTCTTTTTGTCATTTTCTTCTTCTATTAGAGTTGGATCTCGTTTTTTTCAGATCTAAAAATTTAGAGATCCATTTGTGCAGGGTTGCCGGCGATGGTGTCGGTGGTGGCGATGGTGGCAAGTGGAGCTGACGGCGGTGGCGATTTGCACCTCCAGGTCTGTTTCCTCGGAAAGCTCCGGCGGCGGTTGGGGTGGTGGTGGGGTTTGGGCGAAGGTTGGGGT